ACCATGAAAAAAAAGTTGCATGGGTTTCTATTTCTATGCATGCATGTGGTTCTGTTCTCATAGTTATGGTGCTCCGCTTGGCGGCTCTTCGGGCCGCCGGAGCTCCGCTATTAATTAAATAGTATAATTCTACTTGGCTTGAAAAATACCCTTTAAAAGTAACATGCTACTGCGTAAAAGTTAAGCATGTTGAACCTGAAAAAGTGTAGCTGCTTCCAAGGCCAGTTTTGGAACGAGTTGCTTTGATTTGGAAGACTGTTGCACGTTTTCGCGCATTAGCGTAGCCGGTTTGCCGGTGCGTGTAAAGGGTGTATTGTCAACTCACCAGCAAGGAATGGCAGCTATCGTTTTAAGACTAAACCCGAAGTTATACATGATCGAACAGGTCACTTACTAAGATAGATAGCGTATTCTTTTGCTTATCAGTTAGCGCAAGTCATTATGACGTACTCTTTGTTGTGTATCGGTCAAATAGCATTGAGAATTGTACGGCACTTCCAAAAGAGATTTGCCTTAAGCTTTTTCTTTTTATATCATATAGTTCCCAATATTGGTCCAAGAATTATCGCATACTATATTACAAGCTCTAGAAGCATCTACGTTGAATGGGAGCACTCAATTCCACGAAGAAATGTCCGCGGCATCTTGGTTGGCTACCGAGTGGCCTGGGATGAAGATCACTTCAGTTCTGATGACGGTAACGACTATGGAGGGCATGCAGATGTGGGACTAGACACCTCAAACTACAGCGTTACCTCGCTTCACGAGTACTGGCTTTATAACATCCGTGTGGCTGGAAGGACATCAGTCGGACACGGAACTTATTCTACGGTGACAGTCGTGACTGGTGAAGATGGTAAGAGCTTTACGACGTTTTCCGAAGGGATTGCTAGTCCTATATATCTTTTCGAAAACTGCGGAGTATTTCTCGCAGTGTTTAGCTTAACAAACTATAAGGTGGCTTATTACAATTTTGATTAAAGCTCTTTTACCGGCTGTT